TTTTACATCCCTATTACAAATCAGAGATAATTCCACTAAGATTAAGGTTAAGGAATGACAGTGTAGATTAACAGAAGGTAAAATGTATGGATTAAAGATGAGGTGGACTTTAAAGGGCATTTTCTGTTTAGCTGCTCTGATTGGCTGAATTTTCTGCAACTCAGCCATGTAACAAAGATTTCCATTTGATAGATCTCAAAGCGCTTTTCAAAGGGCAGTATAATTATTCCCATTTTACAGATGGGGAAACTGCTAAAGAGGGCTGGGTAAAGGGGAAATGAGAGAGGGAGGGGGTGTGGAATGAACTAAAGGGATAGGGAAGGGGGCAGCTGGGGATCAAATTGTACAAATGAATTAAACAAGTTAACCAATCACCACCTATCCCACTGTTTGTACATTGTAACTCTTCCCACCACCTTGTGTCTTGCCTTTTTAAACTAAGCTCTTTGGGGCAGAGATGGTTTTCCCACGTGTTTGTACAGTGCCTAGCATACCACAGGCAGCATCATAAATACATAAACAAGTGAGGTCACTAATGGGCAGATCCTTCGTTTCACAGGATGCTGTTTCCACCAGACTTGTTGAAAGAAGGCCCAGAAAATGGAAAACATAACCCAAGAGATTTATTCCATCTGGACCTCCTGCATTTCTGTTTATAAGAGGGTGAGTTATTTGTCAGCTGAACTATCCCTATATTTTCCTTTAGCAGAAACTTTAACTTTGATAGAGACACATTTTTCTGTCTCTATCAAAAGTTCATAGAGTACGATATAATCCTGTCATCTCAGTTGCTTTAAAGAAAAAAAATCCAAGGCCCTCTCTTCAAAAAAGTATCAATTAACTGATGTAGACAGCCACCTATTTATAGTGTCAGGAGGGGGAAAAAAAGAATTCCAAACTACTCTATGGGTTTGCATACCAAAAAGAAGTCCATGGAGACCAGGAATTTCTTTTCCAAAGTATTTAATAAAGAAAACACAAGGTAGCACAAATGCTTGTCAGAGCAGTGAAGAATTGATGGCAGTTTCTGTTGCAAACCATCAGCAAAAGTGGTTAAATCCCTACTAGCTGGTTGAAAAAGGAAAAACTTGGATTAAGGCCACAATCATTCACTCATTACATGTAGATTCACTTCTTATACCATGAAACTGACTCAACAACAAACAGCAAAAACAGATGAATGATCCCAGTTTTATAACCATACGCCTGAAGATCAAACAAACCATAGCAAGAAAAGCTTTAGACAGGAAAGGCTATGCCACAACACATGCCTCTATCAAGCCCAGAACTCCCATATCCATCTTGGAAATACAGCCAAGCAGTACTCTACCTCACGTCTGTAAAATAAGTTTCTCATTGCCAAAGCAACAACATTAGTAATAGGAGACCACACTTGTCAGTTACTTTTACCCAAGTACCATTAAAATGTAATCTGTTTTTCCTGAGGGTAGAGATTTTGCAGAAAGGAAGGAAGCTACAGAAGAAGCAGCAAAAAAAATCATGACAAGCCAGAGGAAGGAGAGAAGCAAATTAGGGCTGGTAAAAATGTCCCAACAAACTGTACAGCTTAAAAGATAATGAATGCTACCTGGGAAAAGTGATTTTCATCTGAACAACCCATGTGTTCTCAGATAAATCTAATGGAGTTCTATGCTACCTTTCACAGCTTGCCTGCATTGAAATTTTATCAGAATTTTCCTCACTACTGGTCTAGTAAGAGTGCCCAGAAGCGAATTAGACAATGCTGTGGTAAAAGTGTCTGGTCACCACTAGAGCTTCCATCATTGCCAATGCTGCATTAGTGCTTAACCAATGCTGGAAAACTTTTGTAAAACCATCAGGGCCAGCTCTAGCTTTTTTGCCGCCCTCGGCAAAAAAGCTGCCCTAGGCAAAAAAGCCACCCACCGCCCCCTCCCCCTCTCCCCCCCCTATGGCAGGGGAGGGTGCTGAGCCTGGCCGCGGGCCCGCAATCCCCGACCGGACCGAAGCGCCGGGGGGAGGGCGGAGAGCCCCCAGCGGCCAGAGTGCCGGGAGCAGGGCGGCGAGCCCGGCCGGGGCTCTCCGCTCTCCCCGGCGACCAGAGCGCCGGCCGGGGCTCTCCGCTCTCCCCGGCAACCAGAGCGCCGGGGGGAGGGCGGCGAGCCTGGCCGGGGCTCTCCGCTCTCCCCGGCAACCAGAGCGCCGGGGGGAGGGCGGCGAGCCTGG